CAGGACAATGCTAGGCCGCACACGTCTTTGTCCACTCGGCAAAAATTGATGGATATTGGTTGGGAATCGATGTTACACCCACCATATAGCCCTGATCTCGCGCCATCGGATTACCACTTATTTCGATCCCTGGACAACTCCCTTCGTGGTAAAACTTTTAACGACGACGGCGCTGTAAAATCTCACTTAACTCAGTTTTTGGCCGAAAAGGATCAGACTTTCTGCGAGCGAGGAATTTTCAAGTTGTCAGAGAGATGGCAAAAGGTCATCGAACAAAATGGAAAATACATTACAGATTAAACTTCGTTCCAAGTAAAAAAAAATTTTTTATTTCATTGAACAAATCGGCAATTACTTAGTTGCCAACCCAATAGATCGGAAAAAGGCTTGACGATGTAATTGTAGAACGAAATATTAGATTATGTTCTTAGACATGATTTTAGTACGCGATTGTAGCTGTTGACAAAATTGAGATATCTTTAGCAGTAAATTGTAACAATACAAAGTTTTGTATTCCCTTGCGGTGTCATTTTCTTCACGATCACGATTAAGACTTTTTCGATTCGTAATTTTCTGGAAAGAAATGAACGTGATTTAAGTGCTTAAATTTATTTGAATTTAAGGGAACTTTATTCTGACTTAAAAGAACGGAATAACATTCATAATTAACAGGTTACTCATAGAAATCTCCATCACAAGCCCGACTCGTCAAAGTATGGCATTACAGAAGCCGTACTACATTAAGAAGATTTTTAAGTATAATTTTGATGAAAATGAAAATACGATTTGCAATATCTTGATTTGCTTGAAGAAGGATGCTTCGAAGTTCGCAAGAGATTTTGTTCGCTAACTTATTTAGCGAACGTAAGCTTGATTGAATCGCGACAGGATTTTATCGAAAATGATTGAATCTTCTGAATTTGATATCATCAAGACATGAGAAGTTAAAATGAAATATTGTCGAAATGTCTTAGAAAATCTCTTACCTTGCTTCAACAAGTTCGTACCATTTGGCACTCAAACCATTTAATGCTAGGTCTGTTCATAAAATAACATTGTATATTCGTACTTTCGTGAAGTAATGTTTCGCTATGAAAAAACTATTACAGCGGAGAATAAAAAATGGACAGGCCTGCTTCGGATAGCTATCTCAATTCATCGGGAATTAGAAGCATAAATTTCAAGTACTATCTAGCGAAGTAGTTTATTCAATTAGTGCTTTCTTCCCGTCATTGGTCCAAATTGCAAAAATTCTTTCTACTTTACATTCGCATTTAACCCTTTAGCTGTATAGAAAGGCTACACTTGTCCTGAAGAAATGTACATTTTTGTGCTAGAACAAGTACAGTAATTTCTCTCGAAAATGCCAAATTTCGGGTTGCTCTGAATTTCCTTGTACTGGTACTACGCTTACGTAATTTATTGCTACGTCGATGCTAATTACGTCTCGTAATTTATTGACCGTCGACGGAGACGGTCGCGAAGCGAATTCCCGAAAAACAACACAAAATGGTTTGTTTGTGTGTGAGTCGGGTAAGAAAATCCGCGAAGGTACCACAAGGTATGTGGTAGGTACTAGATACGTGACCGTCGAATCGTGTCATGTGACCTCCGAATTGCCTTCGAATCGTGGCAAAAAATTGAAAATAAAAAACGTAAGTCATCGTTATTATTCTAGCATTACTATGTATTCGTATTAATGTACACTGGCATGCTGGCTGCTGCCTTTTCATCCGACTGCTCGTTTTCTATAAAAACGAGCCTCGAGGCCCAAAGAATCGCGACTTAGTATTCTCAGAACTGCCGATTTCATTTCCGACCTCCGAACATTTCTGGGAGAAATTACTGTACACTCGTCTCATTGTTCCAATTAAAATTTTTGTGAAACGTATTCATAATATTCAGACATTTTAGAATAATCTTAGAAAACCTTGTTGAAGGAATCTGCATACAATGTACGTATGATATATATACACAATTTGTACATACGATAAAATAATATATTGTATGTACCTCTTAAGTTGATCTACACAGCTGAGTGATTAAATTCAAATGAAAATATAAATTAAATTTTCTGTTATTGATATTACGTATTCATTATTAAGTTTTGGTACATTGTACAAGATGTCCCAAAATTATTGTACAAGCGAGAAATGAGGGGTTCCTGAGGCCATTTGAAGTAACTTTTTCTTTAACGAAAATGCAATCCGCGGCTTCGTTTATCAGTTATTAACGAAAAACAGTGACCAATGAGAGGCGAGCTCGGTTGCCGCGAGCCAACAAGCTGTCGAAGCCCAGTTCCTCTAATTGGCTCGGCCGCCTCGCGCTAGCTAATCTCGCTTCTCATTGGTTACTACTTTTCGTTAATAACTGATAAACGAAGCCGCGGATTGCATTTTCGTTAAAGAAAAAGTTACTTCAAACGACCGCAGGAACCCCTCATTTCCCGCTTGTACTATAATTTTAGGGCACTCTGTACATTATGTTCTCAACGCAGAAAGGATTTCTGTAACAGACGACGCATCCAGCATGCACCGAGGACATCGATTTTCAGTTGTTTCAGTTCCGTTTTCAGTTCCACGTCCGATAAAGTCTTCGACCCACGTTTTTCAACTCGCACCGATCATTTTACCCCATCACAAATTTCATAGTTTCCACGACTTTCAACTGTCTTTCTCTCTCTCTCTTTCTCACTCTCTAGTGCCCTCTTAGGATCGAACCTTTATCGGACGTACTTCAGTATCAATATGGAACAGAGTCATTATCTCGTGTCTGATCAGCATTTGATACCTTTGCAGGTTGGCAGTCCCGTAGCGGCGCTTTGCGTCGATCCGTCCGGACGTCTTCTGGTGTCCGGTCACGAGGACAGTAGCTGCGTCCTGTTCGACATCCGAGGCGGAAGAACCGTGCAATGCTTCAAACCGCACGCGGCCGACATCAGGAGCATACGTTTCTCGCCTTCCGCGTATTACCTGCTCACCGGTGGCTACGATAATAAGCTTGTTCTTACCGATCTGCAAGGTACGCTTCAGTGATTTCAATGCCAGGCCTGGCGTTTTACTACTTTTAAAACTAGAATTGCGTAGTCTGATAATATATATATTGACTAATATATATAATATATTGACTAATACATATTGTTTTGTAACAATGATAGGATTAATTTTACTCAAACATTGTGCGATTGCTATTATAGTAGTGGTTCGAACAAAAAAGTTCATCAAAAAATTTCCTATAGTAAAATATTTGTATGATTTCAGTGAGTGTAAATGGAAAAAATTTGGAGCAAGTCATTTTGGCCCGCTCAGTAGTTCTGGTCTTAAATTATCTAACTTTGGACATATCGCTTTGTTAAAACAATTTTTACATTGTATCGAAGCATAAATATATTCGTCCTAAAAGTAGTGAGTATGTAATAGAAAGAAACAAAAGAAACATGTTCAAATATTTGTCAAGATACAAAGGTGAACTTCAATTTTTGTAAAAGAAATGCTGTATCTCTTTTTATATAGCACAGTGGTGTTATCTTTACTTTGAAATCATTTAAATCGCTGAGTACATTTTTAATTTCTGATATCGTACGACCTTGACAGTCATCCTATAGCACATCACATATCAAACATACAGCATTTTATTTAGAAGAATATAGTTCAATCGAAAAAATATTACAAACTTAACACGTTGAATGCCACACCAGTTTTATAGACATTGCCTGTGGCGCCACGATGAATTTTCTTTTATGTGATACATATAATGTTGAAATATTATCTGCAATAGATAAGTTACAGTGTATAAACCATGTTTGACATGTTAATTGCGGTGGGGATCACAGTTTGAATCAAAAGATGGTAATAATACAAAACTTTAGATATTGACATTTGTTTTAAATTATATATATAAGGTCTACCGGAAAGTTCTGTCCGTTTTTGAATTGAAATATAACACAATTTTCATACATTTAATAATATTTTTATTGTAGAATATACTTTCCATCGTTACTTATGACTTCTTGCCAGTGTGATAGCAACTTGAAAATGCCATTTTTTAAAAATGATTTATTTTTAGAGGCGAAGAACTCAACTAGTGCTTGGTTGACATCGGCTTCAGTTTTGAATTTGTTTTCCTGTAAAAAGTTTTGCAAAGAGAGAAACAAGTGATAATCGGAGGGTGCTAGGTCTGGGGAGTATGGTGGATACGACAGAATTTCCCAGCCTAGCTCTGCGATTTTCTGACGAGTCGCCAAAGCAGCATGTGATCTTGCATTATCATCGATAGCCATGTTTTCACGATCGCGTCCCACTTAATAATGACATGAGACATCTTTGTTTCAATTTATTTAGGAGATTAGATGTGTGTAAGTGCAATGATAAAGAGAGATAGTCATATATGTCTCAAATCAACATGTGCATATGGATTGAAACTTGAAGTGACACTATCGGACAGAACTTTCCGGTAGACCGGTGACCCCTGTGGCATTCAACGTGTTAAAGACAGATTGCGTTACAGTTTATAAATAATCTTTTGTTTTAGAACTACATACCGAGCACTAGAAGCGGCTAATTTGTGACGCCTTTTAAATGTAATTGTAATTGTCCACAAAAGCATCGTTATAATATGAATAACTCCAACACAAGGAATCTAAAATCCGTTCAAATGACTTACAGTGTCTTATGTCTTACAGTATTAATTATTGTATTAAATCGTAAAATTGATTAGAAGAATTCCAAATTTCTATTGACAACAATCTATATGTTCGCAGGTGATCTAACGATGCCTCTGCCCAGCGTGGTGGTGGCGCAGCACCAGGACAAAGTAATCTCAGGCCGATGGCACCCGACGGAGTTCTCGTTTCTAAGCACCTCCGCCGACAAGACAGCGACCCTGTGGGCTCTGCCACCGGTCTAGGATATGAGACACGTCAGACACCTGTTCATCGTACGCAGCGATCGTTCGCTTTTCGAAACGATCTCGCGCACCTGATCATGATCGTTCGTTCTTTTGTTCTCGCCTAGACGTATACCATTACCTGTATCCTTTCGTTTCGATTCGTGCGCAAAAGGAAGGATACCGGACTAAATTTTGCCTTGAAACAGCAGAACGAGAGCCAAGCGTCGTTTTAACGAACGGGAGAAAAAGTAAAATGAAAGATAAGGTAGAAATCGTTGCTCGGAAGCGTGGCAACGGAAGTCGAAGAGGAGAACGAGCGATCGCGAGCGATATCGGCGTAACGCAGACACCGGGAAGAAAGTTTTCCTGCGCTCGCGTCTAATTCAACCGTGACCGATTGAAACTTTCGGGAGCCTCGCGCGAGCGTGATCGGATGCGACGCTCGCGATAAGGATACGAACCGCGCTGGAAGAGAAAGAGCGGAGCGTCGGGCGATTGTTAATGTCCGAGAGCTACGGGGGGGACGAGAGAAAGTGCATTTTCTGCGCGAAGATGATCATCGGTCGTAGATCATGACGCATTCGTCGACAGATCGTCTGATAGAAATCATAAGACTGCGGAAGAACTTACTGAACAAGAAACGCAAACTTTATCTATCTCGAGGTACTTGCGAGAGAAGCTTCCTTAGATGCGCAATTAGCTTTGAAAAGTAAGGATTAGAAGTCTTGGTACTCTGCTTCTTAATGGGGGAAACGAGTGCCGTTCTCTCAACAAATTTCATGTGATATGAAAATTAGTGTAGGTGACGCTTATTCGTACGTATTGTTAATTTTGAATTTTTCTAAATACATAGAAATATCTCTTCTTTGTTGTGCATTGTTATTTTGCGTGTATCTTTGTACACGATGTGTATTTGCCTGTCCAATCGAGTGAGTTCAGCCAATTTTAATTCAGAATTTTTGTCCCGTGCAATAATTATAAAATTTGATGAATGCAGAGCAAGATTTATGCATGCATACAGTCATAGTTAGATGTTATGAAATAACACGTTTAACAACCACCATCTTGAATTGTTCGTTTACTGTTCCAGTAAAGCAGTAAAAATAAGTTATAACGAATAGCACTCGTTCCATTTATTAGGAATTGTAGTACCATAACTTTTTTAGAGCAGCTAATTGTTCCGGGAGGCTTCCCTCGTTGCAGCGAGACAAAGATGGCGACAGTTGGTTCGATCATGTCACCCATGACATTCGAATCGACTGATCGTACTTTTCGTCGGTTCGACGGTTTTCCTTTCTCGTAGGTTCGCTTTGTAACGTGTGTCTCCCTTAATTTTGTACCGAGTTTCTTCGCGATCGTGTTCGCCCCGATGTACATACGTTAGCGTAACATTAAGAGGGATTGTAGTCGCATCCTTCTGATTATTTTGTTCTTGCTGTTATTCACAAATTAATTCTAAGCCTGTGTTTAACAAATATCGCAAAATCGCAATGTGGATAAATAGTGCTGTCTATCCGTTTCGTTTCTTTTCTCCGCCTTCTCCCGTGTTGATTTTTTATTAAGAGGGTGCATACGGAAGAGTCTCGGATTAATTGGACAAACATTGTTTATGCCTGTTTTTTGGTTTTTTCTTCATACATTTTTCTTTTTGATAGACGCGGGCATCCTTGGTCTTGTTTAAACATTGCCGCGCATATCGGAGAGACCGTGTAACGGTCGTGGGAGATCGCACGTTTGTAGGAGATGATTATTTAAGTTTATTCGTGTGCATACCATTATAAATTTTAATTAATGCACCGTAGGTAATTTTTGTAGAAAATTTCAAACGAGTTACCATGGAAGCTCGCCACTTTTAGCGTTAAGGGGTCTTTAATTACCTAAAATGCCAAGAAGTATAGGGAACTATAAATATTTATTTTTTAACAGAACTTATCTCTCCAGTTTCGTTGTAAGATTAATTTAAATTACAAATATAGTAGCGGCCGGAAAAGTTTTCGCATTAAAAAAATGCCTTGTAGATTTTTAAATGAAAATTTTTGAGAATTCACTTATTTATAACATTATAAATAGCATTTAACTAATTATAACCATTATAAAACATTTTCAGAAAAATCAGTTTTTTTACCCACGTGAGTGTGCGGGGCCCCGAAATAATATGCGAACCAGTAAATGCACACGAAGGTCGTCTTGATTTTAGAAACATTCGATGGCGGATTTTCTTTTCTTTGTGCGAAACTGCACGCGGAGATGTGAATATTATTAATATTAAAATATTTTTGTATTTTCTAATCGAAGGGTTTGGAGATTGGCGGTTTCGTATGTGCTTGCTTAATGTTAGGTCTTCCGCCCTTTCGTTTAGATCCATTTAATAAAGCGTTCCCTTCCATCGATAAACCCCTATTCTCATCGATTCCCGAAGTCACGCCAAATATTCGCATATTACGTATATTAGACACTTAAATATAGACATCTACTCGTATTCAAAGAATCAAGACAACATATACGCTCATATTAATCACTATTTTTTACCGATTAATGCGATAAGGATATGAAAACGAGATTATCTCGGGAGTGTCGAAGAAGCGACCGAAACGTTGCGTTCTTATAGCGGAGTAAGTGTTTTGAGGTGACAATGCGGTGAGAACCCGATCAGAGATGCAACATTTCTCGATCTCGTTCAACGAATTGATTAGTTATCATTTTTCCAAATTTACATGCTCTTATTTTCCTTCTCGATGAATTTAATAAATCACATAGTTTCAGTTTTCTTTTCTACGAGACAATCGCTGCAAGATATGTTACGTACACGTGCATAGAAAAACATATAACATAATTCTCTTATCTTGAATGTTGAACAATTTTCGTTAAACATTACTTTATCTTTTAATCGAGTTAAAGTACTGTTTAACGAAAATTGTTCGACTCTGATATGCGAAACAAATGAATCACTATTGCTGAAGTTGGAAATTCACAAGAAAATTCTTCGTTGAAATCATTACATACACTTATATATACTCAAGAGCAAAGTTCAAAATCGATTATGGTCGCATTCACGCCGCGTTTGGTCCCTCGAAAGAAAAAATTAAGGAGTCTAGATGTTAAGTTGTTGCTTGTCGCAATCGCCAAAGTTCGGAGTGTGGCCGCGAAGCCGCCGGAGAGGTATAAAAATCACCTGTTTTTGTACATATACACGTTTTCAAAAATACTCGCCGATTTCCGGCTAAATGGACCGTGTCTTTCCTCGATTTTCTTTCGATTTTCAAGCGGACGGGCCGCGATCGAGCCTCGTTCGACCGTTGTACGCTCGTTCTCCTCGCGCCAAGCGTTCACCAAGCGAATCGCGCTTCAGACGAGCGAGGAAGAGGGACCGGAAATTGCGAAATGCGGCTCGAAAGATGCTGTTTTCTCGGTCGCGAGCGTCCCTCTTCGCCGCGAGTTGCCCGGGCGAGATTCGTCTTTCACGCTACTTTCACGATGAAAGAACGAAATTATTCTGCTTCACGTATCACGAAAATAATTTCGTTCCTTTGCACAATCAGGATCGACGAGCTGTGTGCACAATGCTGCCTTACAATCGGTCGTGTGTTTCTTTTTCATCCGACGCCGCGCCGTGCGACGCGTTCCAAGTTGGAAAGCGAGAACGGAGTAAACGATGCGAAAACGACGAGCCTGTCGTGAGAAGGATGCTGCGAGCGGGCATCTGCTTCCGTGTAGCAATTTGTCGTGCCTTCTATCGTGGCTGCTTTCGGCGATTCACATTTATTTTTCTATGTTACGTCTCCGACACCCTTAACCACCATCATCCACCACGAAACGCCTACACCCAACTGTTACCCACTGGATCCTCGTGCAACCCCGTTTCAAAGCTACCAATTAATCCTGTTCGTCCCAGAAAATTCATCCCATCGAACTCGTAATCGAACGCTGAAGTAAGGAACCTCTTCGCTATCTCGTACGAT